CTATTGCAATAAAACGGCAATTTCATACTTTAACCCCTAATATATGTGAAAATCATATAGTTTAATTCATTAAGGCACAAAATCAACTGTTAGAGATTCAAGATAAAGGTTGGTAAATTGACTTCAAACTCATGTGTTTGTGGCTCTTCTTGTCACAATATATGACAAGTTTTTGACTTGGCAGTGAATCAGCCATCGAGTAAGACATTTGTTATTTCATGAACCATTGTTACTGGAGGCTCATTGTAAATAGTGTTTAGTTTGTGAATAAACATGATGTACTTACACTACTAGTTTTTTCTTACAGGACCTATAAAAGTATATATATACATATATCTGAAATCCTTATACTTAATAGGTACATGTTTGATTGTGATTAAAACTTTTGATATACTTATTGATTGCTATAAAACTTTAATTGAATTATTTTTTTATACAGCGTGCAACAATAGACTATACATATTAAACATTTTTCAAATACAATTCTAAGTTGTTATTATAATAGTATTGTTCGCAAAAGTGGTGAACTATTTTATTAACTGCCTCTGTGGCCGAACGGTTAGCATGCCGGATTGCCACGCAGAGGTCCCAGGTTCGATTCCCGGGCCGGGAGAAATATTTGTATGGCCTACATTATTTCTCTCGTGAGTTTGGGTGTCATTTGTGGTTGTCTATGTGTGTGTCTGTGGCACCCGGGACACAGGGTTTCCCTAGTGCAGGGCTATGTTGAGTGTGCGTGTTCAAAAAAAAATTCTTTAAAATATAATGTGTTACTTAATTATTCCAATTATTGAGTGTTCACTTAGGAATTTAGAATAACAAAATTAATAATTAAATTCATGATAAAAGAAGAAATGATATATATATAAGGTGCATTAAGAAAACATCAAAACCACACATATTATAGACTACTGAAAATACAATGATCCTCAGTTGGAACTGGTCCATTGAAATATATTATATTTAATAGGCTTTCTCAGAAAAAAGCTGCCTTCTAGAGACACTCTCACTCCAACCGTATTTCATTTATTTTATCTAATTGCATGATGAAACCGAAGAAAAAGGTTCAGGTTAACATTACCTTTTCACTTTTTTCTTGTATAAACTTCTGCCTAGCATACTCTTTTCTTCTGAGATGTCGGTAAACGTGGAATTCTCCTGAACCTGCGCCGGCACTTGACCCCATCACATTTCGGACAAAATCTGGAGGGGCCGCCAGCGATTTCTGCTTCGGTGGATCAGGCAATATAACTGGCTTTTCCTTCAAGGAAACAAGAGAAACTAAATTTGTATTAAAAGACTAACGTAAAATTACAAAATATATTAATCGATAAATACAGGGTTTTTCATAAGCTTCTCAAGCTTTAATCTCTGTAGATCTGTGGCATTTTTTATCACGATGGGCTTCTTTTCTTCATTTTTAGACTCTTTATCACTCATTGTAGTTTGTTAAATATATTTCTGGGTGGAAAAATTAAATTATTACGCTTTTGGCTTTGAACACTCCAATACAAGCTTTAAACCATAAAGGTATACAATGCACAAACTACTTAGTGAACTACGATACAATGTACTCTTTGGGTAAAGGACATATTTGATGACAAAAGATTTACACTGACAAAACCACAGACTATGGAAATTATTATTATAATTATAATGGAAAGTCTTTTTTTATAATGTTTATGGCTTAGCTTAGACTATGGAAACTGTTTGTTTGTATATTTCGATGATTATTGTTAATGATTGTTTCGAGATAGTGTTGTCCTTGGAAGCGTACATATTATCGATATTCTGTTATTAAAATAATTCACTGTGAGGTTTTTATTATTATTATTTTTACTATTTCAAGTTTACCTACAAATAAAAAAAAAATAGAATAGTTGGAAATCATACATTGAATCAACGACCATCTTCATTTATTCGCTTCATTTTGAAGTCAAATTTTAACATAACTTTGAATGTAACTAGATTACATGATAATGCAATTCCATTATTAGGTTTATTGGTAAATAATTTTATACTTAATTCATATTGAACACTACTCATTTACTAGGCATTCTCAGTTCCCGAAAACAAAATTATCCACTCGTTTCCGATTTTTTCCCACTGACAACTCTAACTACTAAAAATTCTTATTTCATAAAGCCAGCAATACAAAGATCATGTTGGTCTAACGTTGCCGGGTGAAGGCCAATACCAACGTATACACAGCCTATTTGCCTTGCCTTGCCATCGTGTCACTCGCCTAGCTGATCGAGTGAAGGCGATCGCTAACATGTATAGAGCTCGTTTGACGTGGCTTTTTTTTTTACGTGGGGAAATCCTCATGGATATCTCTCTGCTGCGGGGGCAACAGAGAGATCATGTCGGACTCCTACTGACTAAAACCCCACGGTGTTCCGTCCCTGCACCTTTTGCCGGGACTACGGGAACGCTTTCGCACTCTTCCGCGGTCCCGACGGCGCTGGCCTTTGGGCCCCTTCCCGTTGAGGTGGAGCTGGAGAAACACCATCCCATTCAACACTTACAGGGGCACGCAGGAATACCGCGCGCGCCACCTCGGGATCTATACATTACGGGCGGCGGACGCCCCCGCGTCCACCGCCAAAACCCCTGTTATGGGGGTTGAAGGAGGGCATGATAGTGCCTCCTCCGACGCCCTGCTCTCCTGCGGCGGATTGGAAGAAGGGTGGTAGCCTCCCTCTCCCGCTCCGCAGCTTCCTTCTGCGACATTACGTGTTCGCAGAAGGATACTACCTCCCTCCACGACCTGTCACTTTCCAGCATTGATTTGATCATTGCAGGGAGTGACAAGTCGTGTCCTACTGCAGCAACAAGTTCACGGCGCTCATTGGCCCAGGCTGGGCACACCTGCAGCGTGTGCTGTGCCGTGTCTTCACAGCAGCCACAATGGTGACATTCGGTTGTCGGTTCCCTGCGGGCTATATGACACAGGTACTTTCCGAAGCAACCATGCCCGGAAAGCACCTGCACCAGCCGGAAAGTCAAGGATCCATGCGCCCTGTCCATCCAGTTCTCAAAAACCGGACGGATAGCCTCCACGGTACAGCTCCCGGCTCTGGGTTGGGCCAGTCGCCCCCTCCATTTTCTAAGCAGGGACTGACGCGCATGAAACTTCCACGACTGCACTTCCTGCAGCGTGGGATCCTCGCCACGGAGACGGAGGTCAATGCGCCATTGATACATGGCTGCATAGACCTCCGCCTCCAGATCCCAGTGAGGAGACCCCGCTAACAAGCACGCCGCACGTTTGACGTGGCTGTCACAACCTGCAGTCGCTCGTGACTACTTGTCTCACTTCAGAAAAGTGTCGATTTTTCTGCACAAATCAAAGGCGTTCGGCCAATAGTAGTCAATTGACATTGTATTATCAGACATTTGCATGCTATTTAATATATGCGAAACATGTTTATACTAACACTGTCTCTTGTTACATCTCCTGTTATACCATGTTTTAAGCAAATAAACGTATGATAATAATAATATTGTTATTGATAATATTACTACTTTCATTTATTTCCAAAATTAAATGGAAGTATTAAAGATTCATTAAACCAGTCAATGGTATTAATTCTATACCAATACATAAATACAAAAAAGCTTACACTATTTGGAATCTGTTTAAAAATTTATCTATGAAAAAGTGAATCTTGGGGTTGGAACTGTATAAGGATTTATATTTTAAAGTTTTCTCTTTTTTATGTACTCTCAAATTACAAAATTTTTTTTTATCTGTGCAAATTCTCTTTTCGTAATATTTGAGAATTTGTAAATGCAAAACAATAAATTTAAAATTTCATGTGACATTACCGGATATTCTCATAATAATCTAAAATACACCTAAATGGAATATTGATCTACTTTAATTAAATGTTTGATTGCTTAAGTAAAATTTTTGCATATCGATAAAGACTTATCGATAGATTATGGTACGACACTAAAGAAATCAGCCATATATTCGTTCAATTTTTGTGTAGGTATGCACGTTCATTCCGTAGTTAGGGCAGCTTGTAAACCTCCGTCTACGGGGCAGCTCATGGGCAGCTCCTTTCTTTTATTTTTTTTTTCCATTCTCTAAGGTTTATGGCCAGACAAGACATTTAGGCAAAAAAAATTCTCATGTGTTTGGATACACAGATGCTTTAGTCCAATTTAGCGGTTTTCTAAAAAGGGATGGAACACCTCCAGTTTCACCTTGTGAAGGTCAAAGGTATCGGTAATAATCCGGTTCCGGCGTAAAGAAGTGCGACAGGAAATCTTGACGACTTTCTGCGGTGTGGTGCCCGAATTTTCAGTATATAAATTCAGGTAAAAAAAATTGATTTACATTTATTAGATAATTCGGTATTCCAAACTATGACACTTAAGATTTTTCGTATGTATGGCAAAGATTCGTAAAATTTCAATTTATGTAACGATAGTTATTTGTTTCTATTATTTTAATTTTATTGTCAAGCTGTAATAATTTTTGTATGGTATTATCAGGTAATATTTTTGGGTGAGCTAAAAGCATTTTATACAAATTTGTAGTAGTATTTAAACTATTGATTGCAAAATTACTAAGTTCACTACGAGAAGACAACCTATTTGACCTTGCCGGCGACTTAAACAATTTCGTCAGCTACCTCTTTAAGTAGCAAAATGTTTTTTAACGTCCTTTATAACTCGGCAGGAGTTTCTCTCAATCCATATCCAAGATGCCCATCAAGTCAATCAAGGCGCGTCAGATTTTTGACTCTCGTGGTAACCCCACTGTTGAAGTTGACTTGGTAAGTGGAGATCAATCACACGTTCCAATGTTTTATATAAATTTCTGCTGTTCCTGGTGACTCCTAGTTCTTCTGTCACTAAATTGTTGTTTGTTTGTGTTTCTCCTGTGTCCGTATGCGAGTAAAGTTTTCTTATATTTGATTTTCAATTACCTATGTGCATGTTTAATATTTGTATTTGATACTAATTATAATTAGTGCATGAATTATGCACCACAGGATTTCTAAATTGACTTCCCTCACACAATGGCCAATATCCTGCGCGCTATGAATCACTTTGCCTTATTTGCATATTTAGTATTACTTGTTGTATCTTACCTATAGTACTACAACTTAGTAAGTAAGTGGGTAGAAAAGATGCACCTATTTAATTATAGTAAGTAATTTCTGTTAATGCCTTCAAAAACAACCCCAACAACTGGCTATGAAAGAGTGAATTAGTGCTAAAAAAGTGAACTAAAACAATGATATAAATTTCAACACTGTGTGATGTAGACATACCAGCGAAAGCTGCTTGTGTATAATGAAATAAATAAATAATTGATTACCATATTATACAAAGGTCATAATTCTCTACAACTTTTTGTAAAAGGTCACAGAACTGGGGCTGTTTCGCGCGGCAGTGCCGTCTGGAGCCTCCACAGGTGTTCATGAGGCATTAGAGCTGAGAGACAACATCAAGGGCGAGTACCATGGCAAGGGTGTTCTCAAAGCCATCAAGAATGTTAATGACACCATTGCTCCTGAACTTCTAAAAGCTAACATTGAAGTTACTGAACAGAAAAAGGTAATAATCGAACGGAAGAAACATTGCTAAGTAATATAATTCCGTCATACTTAAATTGCCTTGAGCGATAAATTCGATCTGTAGAGACCTGTTATATGCGTGGGAAGAAACACTTTTAAACATAAATTAGGATTTGTGTTCTATAGCGTAAAAATACGAATGCAACTCAAAAATATTCACAGGACCATTGTATTCTACTACTACTAGGGTAAAGACCAATTATGACGTTTCATAACTTTTTCGTCTTTTAGCAATTTGAGCTCATTCTTATATAATATATGTTCATGTTATTGTACATGACACCCACTGGGTTGCAGAAACTAAGAACCTCCACTATTATCTTGCCATTCCAACAGGGAAGCAAAAGACCCAATGCTCCCTTCCACTCTTTTTCTTTTTTTGTATGAGCGGGCTTGTGTATACACAACCACCTCTTTTGTATTTGCTAGTGGTAATAAACAATACTCACTGTATTACTACAGTTCTTTATAAACACTTATAAAGTACTGTGAGAAAAATAGTAGAAGTCAAAGCAGGGGGTAAATGATATGATAAAATATTCCAAAGGTGAGCAAAATTTTCACTTCAGTAAACTCCAGTCCTTTATATGTATAGTTTTGTAAAAAATAAATGCACTGTCAATTGTGATCTGAAGTGGAAGCTTTGAATTTGAAATTAAATCAATATAAACTTTTTATCAAAACAGATTGACGAGTTCATGCTCAATTTGGATGGTACTGAAAACAAGTCCAAGTTTGGTGCCAATGCGATCCTAGGCGTCTCTCTGGCTGTGGCCAAGGCCGGCGCTGCCAAGAAGGGAGTGCCGCTCTATAAGCATTTGGCTGACTTGGCAGGCAATGCCAACATCGTGCTGCCAGTTCCTGCATTCAATGTCATTAATGGAGGCTCTCATGCTGGCAACAAACTCGCCATGCAGGAGTTCATGATTTTACCCACAGGTACAAACATATACTTTGATTTATCTAACTTAGTAGTACTAAGTAGTAATAAAAAATATACAGTGTGTTGATTTGCATTCTCGCCATATTTAAGAAATTAATAATAGAAATAAAGCTAAATCATTTAAAAATATTAAAAAATATAGTGACCCTACCACCAAATAGATCTAAAATGCATATTTTCCGCACATAGTTCATTGTTCAAATGGTTGCCGGTACCTGTTGCACGTGTAGTGCAAGTCCTGTGGATCAAGCGTGGTTACTGCAATTAAATAAAAAATAAGAATTTAGGAAATTATTTCTTCCATTTATTTTTTAGTCATTTGGTTTCAGTTTCGGATATAGAATGACCTCTGTAAATACGGCGAGAAACACTAAAAGAACAACTAAAAAAATTTATTACAATTAATTTAATTGCAATTAAAATCAATTCAATATAAATCAATTGCAATTAAACCAATTGCGACACGTCGCAATTGATTTCAATTGCATTGATTTTTTAATCTGATTGAATTTCTGATTGAAATTTAATTGATTAACGCCCAACACTGTTTAACCCCCCAACCGACCCTCCAACCGTTCCTCCAACCGACCCCCCAACCGACCACCTAACCGACATCCCAACCGACCCCCTAACACACCCCTAACCCATATTGGTAATGACACTTTTATTCGGTACTTTCGGTTTTAATTGTTAGTTTCAATTGTTTCTTAGAACAACTAAAAAAATTTATTACAATTAATTTAATTGCAATTAAAATCAATTCAATATAAATCAATTGCAATTAAACCAATTGCGACATTTCAATTGCATTGATTTTTTAATCTGATTGAATTTCTGATTGAAATTTAATTGATTAACGCCCAACACTGTTTGACAGTAATTATTTCAAAGTCAAAGATTATTTATTCCATAGGTAAAATAAATTTACACTTGAAAACGTCACATTTAAGCTACTGCTCTTTCACTACGCTGACCTCCCTGAGAAGAACGAGCAAGAAACTAGGGATTGCTCTTTTCAAATATACTTAAATGCTATGGAATACACTTTGGATCAAAGGAGACTGATACGATTTCATACAATCTTGGGCCCAGATTGTAAAAGGATGAGAGTGGTGTCACTTAATAACTTATAAATTGTCAAGCAATCACTTAAAATTCTACGGATTTTGTTATCCGAGAACAGAGTTATAAGAGATTTAGTGAAAGTGAGGTTAAGTAAAAACTAGTACCTACTTAACAGCTGTTTTTTGAAGTGCGATTGTTATATTTATTATATTTTTGTAGGCGGGGATTATGCTAGAAAATTCAAAAATGAGGAGGAAAGGATATGAGGGTTAAAAATAAAACATTATTTATTTTTTCAATCATCTTCTATTATAATTAAAACATCGTCTAGGAATTGTGCAGGTGGTACTACGTTATTTTGGTACCTAGCCCAACTAAGGTACCATATAATTGTCATTACATGAGCGCAGCAGCCTACAGTCCGTTTGCCTACGATGCAATTGCAGTAATATTTGAGAATTGCATCCCTACCTCTGCGAGAGCTGTCGGCCAAAATATAATTAAAATAAGTTTTTCGACTTATATGTCTGGACTTAATGCGTCCTCTAAGCAACCATGCAGTACTTGACGCCGACAGATCTCGAACTAGGCTGCTGCTGACCTCCCGGCACACTTCTATAACAAAGCCATCATTACCCCTTACATGTTCACCATAGTAGGAACGTGCCTGCTTTATTTGATACGTGCCTAATGAAATTAATATTAGTTCACTAACGGTGAGCTGGGGAAAATCATTCAGATTATCATTTTGTACATTGATTAATTCAAAATTAGCCCTACATCTATTATAGTTGTTTCTTATAACAAATTCAGCCAAATCATTTTCTGTATTCATGTACATATTGATTTGATCTATTATTTCCCCAGCATCTACACGATCAACTATAGGAGGGTGAAAATCGTTTAAAAGGGCAGCGGCCACCTCAAAATCTTTCATGAAACATTTACTTGCTACATTAAAATAATTTTGCCGTAACAACTTATAATCTCTTTTAAATCTGCCATTAACGACCTCCACAACCCAACGGCAGATGGTTACTGCTCTTGATTTATTCGCTTCACTAGTAGAAAGCTGTGTTTCACCCTCCTCTAATGAAGCAGGCACATATGCCCTATATCCACTTTCATGCAACAAGGGTAATGAATCACGGAAGCCCCTATCCAGTATAAAAGCATCGCCCTGAAGAAAGTATTCCCGTAAGGGTCTTTCATTTGAAAATTCTGTTTTCATAATATCAGCATCTGACGTGGTGGCTGGATAGGGGCCCAGAACATCAATTATATGTCCATCTGTACATACCATTAAAAACGGTTTTACAAGGTTCCGATATTTATGCATGCTGTATGTTCTTTTTTGGTATAAATAATTAGAACTTTTTTCCATGTAACAATATGTTCCATCAAATATTATAATAGGCCTAATAATCCCCTCAAAGTTACCAAACAACGCATTAGGTATTGCAAGATTTCTTTGCACCATTTGCTGCCTGTTTAAATGGTTAATACCGAGGTGTTTTGGTACAAAATATTCAGCAAGAAGGTCTCTTATTTGGTGAATCCACTTCTCTAGTGTTCGCCTAGAAACGTTTAATAATGTTGACAACCTCTCATTAGAATCCCCAGTTCTTAGTTTCATTAAATATGCTGCTAAAGCAAGAGATGCTCTGGGTATTCCTAATAACTGAGGAACCTCACTCAATATTTGATGGAACTGGGATTTATTTAAACCAATCCATGTATGGACAACATTGTCTTCCATTTGGTCTATGCTCTCAAAATGAAGTAATCCTGAAGGAACAACTTCCTTTAAGGACATCATGTCCTGAATATGTTTAGCAGTAAAGGTCTGTACATAATTACTTCTCAGACCGTCCAAAAAATCCCATGCTTCAACAACTAAATGTTGATCACACAAACGATTATTTTCAGGGACATAATACTTATGCTCATTGAGCAACATCTTTCGAGTAGACAGTGGAACTCTATACCTCTCTGTTCTCTGGCATCCTTCGATGAAGCATCTACGTTCTGTTTCCGTAGCCCTCATGTATTCTGGCAATACAATGGTAGGTTCAGGTTGGTTATGCCTATCTTCTTCATTTGGTGGCTCAGTGGGAAGATTTTCTGTCTGTGGCTGCATTTCTTCCAAGGAGTTTCCATGGGAAGAGGTTGATGGACCTGAAGTCATATGAACAGCTGCTCGGTCTGCAGCCACCCAACACTTGTGACAAATGTGACTTTGTGTTTCCACCTGCAAAAAACATAGGCACATCATTATTTATTTAAAACATCTAAATGTCGCTGTAAAAGTATTTATAAAAAAAGTCAAAGGATTCAACTTACAGGTCGAGGTATAATCCACTCTTGTATAACATTATAAATTCTCAATTCGCGACTTGAGTCAGTACGAAGTTCATGATTGATTTGTGACGCAAGAGAACGTCCGCAGCGGAGACAAACTCTTCTGTGGCCAAGGTGTCTGGATTCATCAACATTTGGCCTTTGGGCCAAGTTCCAGCAAGCTTGGCAAACATGGTCACTGCTGTGTACCTAAAAGATAGGAAAACTTTTATATGTCAACAAATCATTACTACTATCAGTTTAGAATTTGTAGTATAATGTAAACATTCTTCATATTGTGCCTTTTAAACGTTTAAATATCCGTCATTTATTAATGTAAGTAACTATGATGAAAATCATCGTAAGGAAACGTTTAGGGAGGCAGGCTAGACGCTGACTAGCTAACAATCAGGAGATGAGTAGGTACTTACAAGCTGTGGTGCAAGCCATTGACGAATCACTGACAGTATCACTTCATCATCCAAGGTTCGTCGGCCCAGTGCGTTACTGCGACTGGTCGCTATGCCACAATTTACACAACGATCCATGGCGTCAATATCCAATCGATAAGCCAGCAGTAAAATCCAAAATAACGAGTCCAAGTTAAACGTGTAGGTGAGATTCTTCGTGTCCGGTATGATTGCAAGGGTAGTACAAGTTAAGCGAGATCAGAAGTCCGTAGAAACAAAACAGGGGTCAATAAATGTAAATAAAAACAATAGGAAATGCACTTGAAACGCACACGCAATCAACGATACGAAGCGAGTGACAGACAGTGACAGTAGAAATAGTCACCACAGGCTAAAAATGCGGTATCGATAAAAACATAACAATCGATTTGTGAACGAGATCCGATATCGAGTTTCGTTTTTAATACACAGCTAGATTACGTTGTAGTGTTTGAAACTTTTGATTTCTCACGGATTTAATTATTTTAATGGTTTAGACATGGTGACGGCGTTTTTCGACTATTGATTGTTAAAACTCATTCACATTTATCGATTAATTTAAATCGATTTTATTATGGCTCCAGACATTTAGTTATTTTTTAGATATCTCAGTTTCTAGATAGCGAATTAGGTTGATTTTTTAGATTTTGCAATAGAAAAATATAATAAATTTTTAAAACCATATTTCATCTTATTACATTTGGGCCCAGAATGCCCCGTCTCCTTTGTGTGGATTCTGGAGCCATGTCGTCTTTCCATACATCTTTATCTAACACGTAGTCTTCGATTTTGTAATATGATTTTTCGATCAAAAAATTTTTAATCTAGTTTTTCAACTTAGGAAATGATAAACTTTAATATATGCTCCGGAATCTTATTGTAAAAACGTATACAGTTCCCCATAAAAGAGTTGTTTACCTTGGTTAAACGAAATCGTGGTACCATGAGTTTGGACTTAGCTCTAAGGTTAATGTTATGGATATTTTCTTTCTTATTGAAATTATGTATATTTTTACTGGCATATAAAATATTTGAGTAAATGTACTGTGATGCCACAGTCATGATACCAGTCTCCTTAAACTTTTCTCTGAGAGAAACCCGAGAGCCTAGACGGCACACAGAACGAATCGCTCGTTTTTGCA